TGGTCTTACTAGCTAGTGATAAATGATGAGTTAATGCGAAAGACATCCCAATTTGTGGAAGAGAAGGTGGTATCAAGCACAGCAGCCCATTCATTGACATATCCCTGTAAGTTGGGGTATACTTGAGACATACTTGAGAATGTTGCAGATAGTGGAGAGAATGTGTTCAGGAGGCGAATCCTGTAGTAACAAATTTTCATTAGGTGTTCAGTTTCTAGTTAAAGTTTCCTTATTAGGTAGGGAATTAAAATAGGACATTAGTTGGCCAAAAGTAAAGCACTGAATGGAGGATGTAGAGTGTCCAGGTGTGGCAATGATAAGTGGTGAGGTATTTTGATTGAGTAAAATTTGTAAAAGGTGCCATGCTGTGGATCTATCCCATTTCAAAAATGTATTACTGGTAAAAGCAGGGACATTTCCATATAAAGGGGTCATTAGGCCCACCATAGATGATAAATTACATTTCTCACTTATGTGGTCTCTTAGGGTTAGAAAGTGGTGCGCCAACAGGAGAACAGAATATAGTGAACCTCGGAGAGCAGGTTCAATACACATACTTTTTTAAAATAAAATTTTATCCAGTCACTTGATCCTGCAGCTCCTGCTTCCCTGTGTAAGGGAACACTTAAAGTGATTATAAAGGAAACATTGTTTCTTTAAAAAAATAACAAATATCTCTATACTTACCTGCTCTGTGCAATTCCATTGCATAGAGCGGCCCCAATCCTCCTCTTTTCCAGTTCCCCGCCTGGTGCTCCTGGCTTCTCCTCTCTGTCCAATGCCCCCTTGGGAAGCGGCTTCCCTTAGGGGTACTTGTGCATGCTTGCTTCTGAGTCACATACAATCTGACGAATGTGAGTGGATACTGTAGCAAGTTTAATTTTTGGTTATGCAAAACGGTGTTGTACTATGGTATGTTTTGGTTTTATTTTGCACAGATCTGGAGTTTAAAGGTCCAATGGAGCCATAATATGTGGAAGGAACATGTCACGGATCAGAATCTTGGAGACTCTTTTTCCTTATAAAGCGTGTTTTGGCCTATTATAATTTATAGGTTAATGGTCAAGGTGAGCAGGGAGTGGGGCCACAATTCAAGCATGCTGTTTATGATTGCTGGATGATAACGCAACATATACTGGATTGGACATTTATTATCATAAATTTGTTACACAATTTTTTTGGGATGTCATTTTATGTTTTCAAAGCTCATGGGTTTATTTATGAGGAGATAGTACACAACATTTTTTTCATTTATCTAAGTTTGAGTGTGAGTACACCAGGGCAGGGAGTGCAGAAATCTTCTTCCCTGATATAATCAATATTATTGGAACATAGCAGCGCATAAGCCCTTACCATTTGCATAAGCTAAAAAATGTTTAGGCTTTAGAATCACTTTAAAAATGGCTGTGAATTCTCAGAGCTGTGACATCACCCCTAGGCTTCCATAGCCCAGCCACTGTCAGCACTTCCTCTTCTCCCCTGCAGCAGTCGCTCATTGACATATGGAAGCCGCAGCTGCATTACATGATTAAACTGGAGCAAATTAAAAACAGGTAGTTACACAGATCTTTTTTACATTGTGTCACGGTGTGCCCCGTGCCCCCACCCCCCCATGCCTGCTGTCCCTCTGCCTGTCCCTTCACCCCTTCCTCCCCCTCTTGCAGATTCCTCACATCCTATCACAGCCTACTTCAAAGGCTGTGCAGGATGGGAGGAAGAGCCCCCTGTGGTGCGGGTCGCACTTCTCCCAGCAATCCCACTGGAGAGTCGAGACCCCCCGCCAGAAGACCTCTAGCGCAGGCCGCCGGGATGTCTCAGCGAGTTCCCCCCGGCAGGCACAGCACGGGCACGAGGCTTCCCACGCTCTGCGCCCGCTGGAGACAAAGGCCGCGCTCACAAGAGCGCGGCCCAAGTCAGGGGGCGTGCCTTGTTGCCTTGGCAACGCGGCTCGGGGCTGGACGTTGCCGCTCTCAAGTCGGGGGCGTGCCGCGTTGCCACGGCAATGCGGCACTGGGCCGGATGTTGCCGTGGCAACCGGGAAGCGTCCTGCTGCTGGTCCCTGAAGCTGCTGGGAGGTCTGAGTTGAGGCCAGACCCCCATAGCCATCCCCGCTGAGCACTCTGCCTAATACCCTGGGTCAGGATTACCCGCTGCCGCTGCTGTGTGCCAGAAGTACCCGTTGTGGGTCCAAAAGATACTCTGCCTGCCCTGTGCCAGGATACCCGCTGCCGCTGTGAGCAAGAAATACCCACTTTGGGCCCAAAGATACTCTGCCTACCCTGTGCCAGGATACCTGCTGCCGCTGTGTGTCCGGAAATACTCTGTGGGAGTATCTGCTGTGTACTAAGTAGCATCATTGCCTGCTGCTGGCTGTGCGAGCCAGAGGGGACCCCCGCCAGAACTGTGTGTGTCCATATCCCTGATTTCCCCTGCCTGGACTGTCTGTGAGCCCCCCTACTTTCCCCTGCCTGGACTGTCCGTGAACCCCCCTACTTCCCCCCCCTGAACTGTCCGTGCACACCCCTGATTTTCCCTGCTTGGACTGTCTGTGAACCCCCCTCCATTACCCTGCCTGGATTAGTACTTACCAGAGACTCAAACTTGCCCTACCTGGGGGGGGGGAATTCCAATTACTTTGGCCCCTCCCCCTCTCTTTCCCTGCTCCGGGTACTTGGACGCTACCCTCAGACCCACATTGAGTGCTTGCCATAGTTCAATAAAGCTTTGTGTGTTTATCATCTTCTCTGTGTGTTCTGTCCTTCCTACACTCTCGTCACACATAGGGTATGCAGGATAGGTAGGAGGACAAGGGAGAGAACATTTTAAGACTAGTTGTTTTAAAATTAAAGTTGGCCCCAAACAATTTCAATTGAAAAATTGAAGGCGCAGGATGAAATATTATTAGCTGAACAGTAAGTGCATTCTATTAGATACAGTCGCTCTTCTCCAGCCTTTTCAGCCTGCTCTGCCAATACTTTTGGAAGCATTTAGTTCCTGGTCTGGTTCCGTTTCCTGACTATAGTGGCTTGCTCACCTCCAAATGCCTAAGACCCTCATGGGCACAACTTGCTTAGTTTTATGACAATGGACGGCATTTTTCCCTTTTTTCAGACTAGTTGTCCTCAGCTCCATAGTTGTTACATAGACACAGAGAGGACAGTCCACTGTCACAGATGACCTTAGCCCATACTTCCCAGTTACCAATAGCAGCAATTTTCAGTTCTGCCAGATTGAATCAGTGTCTATGACAAAGATCCTGGGCCCCCTATTACTATAGGGTCGTCCTTTACAGAGTTAAATACAGCTGTGCAAAGTCAGCCTCATCCGTCATATACAGCCTTAAGACCCTTGATATCCACTTTTCATTTTTTTATTGGTCTGTGCACAGTTAATGTAGAAATGTACTCAGAAGGAATCTAAGTGCACCCTATTACATACTACAACCAAACCTGCTACTGTGGCTCCTCCTCGTTGGTGTGTCTGAGGTCCCTATTACTATCTGTGATTCCAAATCAGAACCTTCTCAGCCTTCCCTGGAACAGCCTGTTTTTAGGCAGGCCACATTTGACTTAGCTTTACAAGAAGTTAGTGATCCTCTGACTGATGCAGTGCATTTTACTCTGCATTTAGGGGATCCGCCTGCTCTTCTAGGCATTGAATATTATAGAGCTGTGGCTAGCGCAGGAAATCTATGGATCATCTTAATTCTTCCATTGCTTCCATTGCTTCTACAGCAGCTCCTTGTAGATGTACACAATCATTCTTTCATGGAAGTGGCAGATCTTGAGGTCAAAAATCCTCATTCTCTTCTGCTCAATGCTCTGCCTAAAAACTTAAGCCCCACCTATCATGTGGGAAGACGTTTGTTGTTTTTACTGGATAACTTGTTAATTGTTTCTTAACAGTTTTCAATGTTCAGGTTTTTTTTTACCTGTACCTCCTTTTTTGCTGAAACTTAGATTATGCATATTTATTGAGCTTTTTTTTAAGCATTTTATGGGCAGTGCAGTTTTTTATCCCCGTGACCATTGCACTGAGCTGCATGGACAGTTAAACACCAACATTGGTAAATGCACGGGGACTTGGGGGGGGGGGGATTTAGGGTGTTAGCTCACCATTTAATTTGTTCTGAAAAGATGATCTAGCCCTTTAAATCTGTACTCCAAGTTTGAACATATTTGCATATGGTCACTGTGCAGAGGGGCAGCTGCTCAGCTGGAGTTTTTCAGTCCTGATCTGGAACATGGTTGATCCTAGATATCTTCTCTTGAAACTGTCCTTTTCCTATATCTATAGACTATATCACAATCATGTGTCCCTCAATGGACAATAAAGAAAACAACATTTCTGTACTTACTATAAAATGTTTTACTTGTAGTGTGTTGGGGGACACAGTTCCTGTCCCTCTGTATTTTAAGTCTTATGTACTATTTGCTCAAACAACAGACAGTTGGAGGCAGGGTTACACAGTGGCTGACTAAATGATTTTGTTTGGTCAGTCAATGTGCAAAGTCCTGAAGGTGGCAATATAACCCAAAGACTGTTCCACTATCCCATGTCACTCAATAGACTGCAGGAAAATGATTTTACAGTAAGTACAAAAATGGTATGGTTTCCATTATTTAAAGCAGTTGTAAAAGCTCAAGGTTTTTTACCATCGTGCATTCTATGAGCTGAGCTGGCCTGGCAACCTGTAGCAGGTCAGTGTATGTAATCCCCAGGTGACAGCACTGCAGCTTAATATGTCTATATAGTGTAGTAGTCAGGCTGTGTTCTATCCTTCCCAGTGTCCATGTCAGGTACTATCCTGACCCTAAAAACCCTGATTTCTATATTCCCTATACAAAACACTGATCTGTACACTGAGTGTCACTCAGTGTACAGATGTCAGTGTTAAATATAGGGAATAGCACTCAGTGTACACATATCAGTGTTATATTTAGAAAATAACACTAAGTGTACAGATATCAGTGTTATATAACACTGATATCTGTACAATTAGTGTTACTACCTATCAGGGGTGGACTGACAACTCATGGGGCCCCCGGGCAATCTCAGGGTACCAGGGGCATCTCATGGGGCCCCCTACTGACCCCGGGGCCTCGGGCAGTGCCCGAGTTTCCAAATAGTCAGTCTGCCCCTGCTCCCTATACTATATATATATATATATATATATATATGGAATAGCAGTAGGTTTCCAGCTATCAGTGTTATCTGTACACTAAGTGCCATTCCCTATATATAACACTGATATCTGTGCACACAGTGTTATTTTCTATATATAACACTAATATCTGTACACTGAGTGCCATTCCCTATATATAACACTGATATCTGTGCACTTAGTGTTATTTTCTATATATAACACTAATATCTGTACACTGAGTGCCTTTCCCTATATATATATCACTGACATCTGTACACTGAATGCCACATTTTATATTAAGCATTTTCTATATTAAACATTTAGTTTGAACATAGTGTAGAGAAATTCTGTGACAAATGCATGTAATGTGGGCAGTGCAATATGTAGGTGGGGCTTTGTGTGGGTGTGGCTTGAGTGTAGGCAGGGGGCACAGGGGGCCCCCATGATCTATTGCCCGGGGACCCCATGAGTTGTCAATCCACCACTGCCTGTGGCACAAGGCTGGTTAATCATACTGCCTGCAATGCTGAGCTGCAGTGATCAATATGTGTGCTGAATGGATTGTGATTGGCTAAAGGAGGACACAGAGGAAGGGGCTATGCACTGCTGTATATTGTGGGAAGGACAGAATCGGCTGGGAGCAACTATGACTTGTGAGAGATGTAGTTCCCAAACAGATTGAGCTTTGTCCTCAGATTGGAGGAAGGACTACATATCCCAGCATTGCCAGAGCTATCTGGAGAGGAAAAGTCTGTTCATGGGCTCAAGGCAGAGGTGGTGAGTTTATTGTGTCAGGCAGACCATGCTGCAGGCAGTTAGCAGAATGTTTTGCCACCACATCTGGGGTGAAGGGAGGCAGAGTAGTGAACATGTCTTTGATATTGAAAATTCAGGGATGTGGTACAACCACATTGGAAGCCAAACTAAAATAAAACTAGCTACTTACATTCACTGGGTCAAGCACCTGGGAAGTACATCCATCCTTACTCATAGAAGTAAACATCAGAATTGGTTATACATGTACAAGATACAAACATTTGAGTATTTCCAAGTATAATTTTGGTCACACATTTTAAACTCTAAATTTCATATGTTGTTGCAAAAAGATCTACATCTTTTAAATGTTTGTCATATTAGGCAATCATATTGTTTTGTTATGGGTATTTAAGCCTCTTACTGTAATTATATATACACTATATTTACACAATCTATTTTAGTAAAAAAGCACACTCCTTTTTTCTTTCCTTTATTAGTACAATGTTTAAATTTTTACAAGAGGCTTCTCTTTTTTCATCTTTAGGCACACAGCAATATGCTTTATGATAAAACATCTGCGTCTGTTTGCTTTTTGAAGTTGATGATTAATCGCACAGTAATAAAGACAATCAAATCTCTTAATGACATAATAAGCATCTGTGCACAGTTAAATGAGTCAGAAACGATGAGAAAAGGCTTGCAAATATCTGACAATTTTCATTACCAAACACTTTATTTTCTTTTAAAGTTCAATTAATTAAGGGGTCCCTGATATTTGTCTAAGCACACAGTGTAAGATTCTACTGGCTTTCACAATACCTAGGTGCTGAGTATGCATGAGTAGCACTAACCCCTTAAGAGCCGAGTATTTTGGGGTTGCCTGTCTGTTCTGAGCCTACTTTGGAAGTACAGCCCTTGCTGACACCACCGTGAACCTTGACCAGGAGGATTCCCTGTCTTTGAAGGATAAAATAAACACACAGTTTAAGGTGAGCAATTATTTTAATTGTATTGAGGTCAGAGCATATAGGGTGCAAGCGCTACAAGAATGACAGTAGATGTGCATAAACAAAGAATTAAACACTCAACAAGGTTCAACAATGTAATAGGATGCAGTGTCACGTTAAGAAAACCCAAATATCCTGCAGGATCAGAATTTAAACATCAGTTCCAGCTTCTGAGATATTTCTCCCCAAGTGAGCTGAAGTGAACTATCAAGATGTCAGGCTAACTGACTTTTGGGTTTTCAGTTGCTGGTAACTGGGTTTAATTATTGAAATGAATAATATTGTTATAAACAATAATGTTCCCTTTTTTGTATCTCATTAAAGAATTATGACAAATCTGTGTGCTTGATGGGGCCCTAGTTGGTGCACATTAAGGTTCAGATCTCTTCTTGTGTGAGAGGAGGTTTCATCAAGATGGTATAGCCACAGAAATATTCCTCCTTTGAGTGATATTGAAAACTGGGTAAGGTCTCTTTAACACAAAGGATTAAGGCGAAAATGGCTAAAATTGAAGAAAGGGGTAGAAGCAGATTTCAGCAGAGGTTGAACCCAAGGATGGTGAACTAGTTTGGTGGTGCAAGTTCCTTTGGAGGCTTGAAATTAAATACTAGTGTAATCCTGTCTGCAGGGGACACATGCTGTAGCCAGAGTCTTGTGGTTTCAGGATTTTAGTAAGACACTAAAGCAGTGGGCCATGATACTGAATGGGCTAGGCAGTCTGGGTCTCAATGTGATAATCTGTGGTGTAAAGTGTACTAAATAACTGAAATTAATAAAGTCACTTGCAACTTGTGATGATCTGGGTTTTGGAAACCTCTCACCTGATTTGTAGCATTTGCAGCAAAAGAGATAGTCTCTCTGTTGGGAGGGGCATGTTCTCTTGGTTTCTCTGTTGAGAAGCGATGCCGATGATAGAACTATCATCTGCCTGCCTGCAGGATTGACCATCCTGCTCATCAGCAGTTTCAGCGGTCTGCAGTCCTTCTTTCTTTCTCCCTGAAGTGGCCCGTTCCAGCTTGGGTCCCCAGAGTCCCACACTGCCTTCTGCAAACACACACACATGTTCTCCACCTCTCACCAGTTACTTCTTTCCTGTAAAGTTCCCGGGCTTCTCAATATATACGCTCCCACCCCTTTGCCAGCTCTTCTGGGAAATGTAGTCTGTTGACTCCTTGTTTGAGTGCAGAAGTCCTGCTACCAGCATACAAGTTCAACAAGGATTTGCTTCAATAAAGTCTAGATAACTGAACCACAGGACACTGGCATTTTGTGTTTAATTAACATCCTGCAATGAGTATTAATTCATGTTGTTACACATAGTTGCACATACTAGTTTTGAAGGCATTTTATTCCAAAAAGTTCCAGTTCAATACTGATGTAAAGAACACATGGACTGATCACCTATCAATTAGTGACAAATGTACACCTTTTTTAGATCCAAGATCTAAACAATGATAGACTTAGGTACATATCAAACATATGCTTATTACATCTAAGACAGAAAAAATACAAAATATTTTGAAGTATGTAAGTATGTTACAATGCTTGTTCAAAACCAGGGGCGGACTGACAACTCATGGGGCCCCCGGGCAATAGGGGATCATGGGGTCGCTGTGCTTTTGACCAAACTCAAAAAATCCTATGAAAAAGGTACCAGGGGCATCCCATGGGGCCCCCTACTGACCCCGGGCCCTCGGGCAGTGCCCGAGTTTCCGAATGGTCAGTCCACCCCTGTTCAAAACCATATTTCGGCAGCAGTCATTTTGTGAACCAATGTTTACATTTGGTGAACTAATTTACCATGAACATCTATAGAACCAAAATAATCCACACAGTTCATCCCAGAAATCCATAGGCAATCCCTACTAGCCCCTGGATGATTCTAACTAGGGATCTGCTTCACAAATAACACTTTGGAGAACCTCACAAAACTGCTAAACAGGGTAAAGAAGCACTCAAAAATTAACACTTTTCTAATTTAGAAAGTCTATATATGCTGTTCAGCATAATCTGCATGAGAATAGACAAAAAGAAGTTTCTCATAGCCAGTCAGAATTCCTAATAAATGAAATAAAAGTGTGTCACGCTGCTATCAACAAACAATATTAGGAAAAATGAATCTAAAGACAAACTCAAACGTAACTAAAGTCCACACAAAAACGAAGAAAAACAAATTCTTCAGAATTTCCAAAAAAGTGGAACATCTTCCTACTGGTGACTGCACCCGGAATCCCAGTGCTGAAAGTCCTCAATGTACGTGAATCACCACAGTGAACATAGAGGTCCAGCTGGGTCCTCACCTTCTCACATGGACCTGTAAGTGGACACAGGTCAAATAAGTATCTCCCCTATGGGGGTAATACATAACTTGCTCCTCTGTGGGCAATCTTCTCCTTTATAAATCACCTCGGAACCTTCCAATGGCACCTGATTTCAGTAGAGCCAGCTCTGTGGGTAAAGCTCAACAACCACAAAGAGACCATAGTGCAGTATGTTTCTTTAACCACTTCCATACAGGGCACTTATACCCCCTTCCTGCCCAGGCCAATTTTCAGCTTTCAGCACTGTCACACTTTGAATGACAACTGCGCGGTCATGCAACACTGTACCCATATGAAATTTGTATCACTATTTTGAGACAGATAGAGCTTTCTTTTGGTGGTATTTAATCACCTCTGGGTTTTTTATTTTTTGCTAAACAAACCAAAAACCACTGAAAATTTAAAAAAAAATGTTTTTTCTTAGTTTTTGTTATAAAATGTTGTAAATAAGTGATTTTTCTCCTTCAATGATGTGCGCTAATGAGGCTGCGGTGATGGGCACTGACAGGCTGCACTGATGGGCACTGATAGGTGGCACTGATGGGCACTGATGAGGAGGCACTAGTACGTGGCACTGATGGGCATTGACAGGCATCACTGATGGGCACTGAAAGGCAGCACTCATGTATGGCACTGATAGGCGGCACTGATAGGTGGCACTGATAGGCAGCACTGACTGGCACTGATAGGCATCACTTGATAGGCAGCACTGACGGGCACTGATAGGCAGCACTGATGCACACTGATAGGCGGAACTGATTGGCAGCACTGGATGGTGGCACTGACTGGCATTGATAGGTGGCACTGACTGGCACTGATAGGTGACACTGAAAGGCAGCTCAGATGGGCACTGATATGTGGCATTGATGTGCACAGGTAGGCACTGATATGTGGCATTGATGAGGCACTGATGGGCACTGGCAGGTGGCAGGGATGAGCACTGACAGGTGGCACTGCTGGGGCTACACTGATCATCAGGGCACACTGATCATCAGTGCCCTGATGATCAGTGTACATGTCCCTCTGAGGAATGCCGATTACCTGCTCTCCTCTCCTCTCTAGCTGTCGGCGTGACAGATCATGAGGAGAGAAATGCCAATAATCGGCATTTCCCTATTTACATGCGATCAGCTGTGATTGGGACACAGCTGATCACATGACTGAGCCTACATCTTCAGCTCTTTCCATTGGCCGGTGATCAACTGTGTCCGTGGGACACAGCGCACCACTGATCGCTGCGCGCTCCCGGAGCTGCGCATGCACGCTTAGAATGGGAGTACATCATATGACGTCCTCCCAGAACAAGAGAACCACCTTGAGCCCATCATTACCTTATATGGTGGGCGGGAGGCGGGTAAAATGGCATGTAATTTATTAAAACATACAGTATACACTCGCATGGTAACTAGTGTAAAAGCACAGTAAAGACAATGTCAGAAGCAATCAGTAAAGAGCAATATCCTTCCTGACAGATCGGCGTTAGAGTGCTGACATCACCCGGCTCCTCCCCACATGTATCGTCACGCACTATGTGACTCCATCAGGGGTGACTCTAACGCCGATCTGACGGGCAGGATATTGCTCTTCACTGATTGCTTCTGTCATCTTTATTGCGTTTTTACACTGGTTATCATATGAGTGTATATGTTTTAATAAATTACATGCCATTTTAATGAAGCGTACTGAACTACGGTCTTCTTTATGGTTGTCAGGCTTTACCAACAGAGCTGGCTGTACTGAAATCAGGTGCCATTGGAAAGTTCAGCGGTGATTCATAAAGGAGAAGATTGCCCACAGAGGTGCAAGTTATATTTTACCCCCACTTATAGGGGAGATGCTTATCTGACCTGTGATCACATACAGGTCCATGTGAGAAGGTAAAGGTCCATCTGGACTTCTATGTTCACTGTGGTGATTCACGTACATTGAGGACTTGCAGCACTGGGAGTCCGGGTGTAGTCACCAGTAGGAAGATGTTCCACTTTTTTGGAAATTCTGAAGAATTTGTTTTTCATCGTTTTTTTGTGTGGACTTTGCGTTTGTCTTTAGATTTGTTTTCACTAATATTGTTTGTTGATAGCAGCGCTATACACTTTTATTTCATTTATTTGTTTTTTTTTATGAGAACACACATAACACGTGTCTGCAGCAGCTCATTATTCAGCACTTTATTCTGCACATTGGCAGCGCACAATTCCTTCTTGTTTTATCAGTCAGAATTCCTGTTTAGTTTTGACTTTAAAAAAAAAGCTTCAATCTGGATGGTTTATATTGTATGACAGTGCAATGTGCTGCCACTGGGAAAATGGTTAGATAAAAGACACTGGGTTCACAAATTTGCATTGTGCAGGCCACTGGAGTATTGATTTTAAGCAGAGAAAACAGTTTTTACAACTTTCTCTGGATTTTGGTATTCCCGGATTGGGCACCGTAGTTTGGAGATTTCAAAATGCCTTGGGAAGGGAGAAATCTCTAACCCAGTGTCCAGGTTTTGTTGAAGACCATAATAGAGTACTGCAAACTAGAGAACTCACATCCAAAGAAGTCCCAAACAAGAACAAACTGTTGAAGACCAGCAGGATGTCTACCCAGGTGCACACAGCCTTTATAATGAAGGATTGAGAGTCATTCAGAGCTCCAGCAAGAAGGGAGCTGGGCTTCCATTTTGGAGACAGGTCTCCACCCAAGAGCCATGATGTATCTGTGTGCTAACAAGAGGGCTTCACCTTAGGAGACAGGTGTGGGCCAATATTGCTGTGTGCATTGAAGAGGAGCTGAGTGCTCTGAAGACTTCTAAGTTGTGTGTATTGAAGAACCGATGGGCTGAGGGACTCATTACTAATAGCATTGAATCTCCTGAAGAGAGAGCCAGATAGCTTGATATTTTGTTATCTGTGTTATGCTTTGTGCAACCAAAACCCTTGTGTGGGCAAGTTTGTGGACATTTCTTTAATCTGTTTTAATAAAAGTGGGCTACCCGGCCCTTAAAATATAGTTTGGACTTCACTAAAAAACGCGCAACTACCATTGAGTCTAATCACCCCATGTCACAATTGGCAACACATAAAAAAAAATGTTTTCCACTTTGAGTCCACATTGTTTACTACTTATTTCAGTCTAAGAATAATTGGAGTATTCAGTAAAATGGTGGTATGACAAACAATCTAAACCAAAATGATATAATACTAGTTAAGCTCTGTTAGAACCCCTTTCAAAAAAGAAAAAAGTGTCTGCAATGAACATTTATTTAACATTTTCAGGACAGATGTGGAAGAGTGTTATTGTCCTGCCATCGTGTAGTATATCATACAATAGACTTGAATCCTGGTGTCTCAGCACACTGCATGTAAGACATGATGTAGCGGAATTCAAAGCAGAGGAAATTACAACATAGTGGAGGTGTTATGACCCACACATACACATAACTGGACTACATTACAAAGTCTCTGCACATTCAGTCATCATTCTAAAAAAGCTCAGCAATATAAATACACAAATACGTGTTGAAACATGCAGAAAATGTAGGGGCATACAAGTGGACAGCAATTGATTTTACAATATTTTGTTTATGAAACACTTTCCACAATCATAAAGAAGACTTCTTCAAAGAGAAATCTAGGTCTCAATAACCACGGTCATGGTAATCATTTCTATTGATTAGTGGCAGTGAATGCAGATGTAGTTAAAGGCAGGCATTTCAACTTTTTTGCTATACAAATGCCTCCAATTCAGGGAAGCCAAATCATTCTTCGTGCAGATATTGACATTGTGACCAAAGTAGCATAACTATATCAGTACAAAAATGTGCAAAATGTGGGCTGGTCTAGTCCTGGAGGCGTGGCTTGTTTTATTTCGAGTTTAAAGGAACAATAAATTCTTTAATAAACAACATAAAAGAGTGCCAGCAAATTGCAATTCGACTGAGAGTTTGTTAATATAATGTGACATCACTGTCCTATAGTGACACAGAAACCACGTGTGTTCCTTTTCTCCTCTTTTGGGATCGTTTGAGAGGCTGACCGGTGCATTTTTTCCTTGAGGGGGATACCACCACTGTTGTTGACGGTTCCTGGATTAATGCGTAAGGCCCCCATGGGATGCTGATCTTTTGGCATTGAGCGCCTTTGAAGTGTGTTGGGCCTTAGGGGTCATAGCGTGGAGGTGAGAAGGCATTTTAGCCAGTGGTGGATTTTTTGTCAAGTTGATCACTTTCACTATCACCTATCAAGTCTACTTGGGAATTTAATATTGGACTTTACACGCAGTAGTTTATCGTGAACTTTACACCATCCTTTGTGTTTATTCACATTTTTGTGGCATTATTAGTGACGTGTTTGTTTTTGTGCTTATATTTTTTTCACTCATCATTCATTTACTTTTGACATTTATGTCATCCATGCTTATTTATGATATATTCACCGTTATCAGGGGCGGACTGACAACTCATGGGGCCCCCGGGCAATAGGGGATCATGGGGCCCCTGTGTCCTTGCCCAAACTCAAAAAAGCCTATGAAAAGGTACCAGGGGCATCTCATGGGGCCCCCTACTGACCCCGGGCCCTTGGGTAGTGCCTGAATTTCCAAATTGTCAGTCCGCCCCTGACCGTTATACATCACTTTTGTTTTTTTTGTGAACTCATGTGCTGATTATTGCTATACGGGTTCATCATTCTATTATTTTTAGCACTTCCACTCACATCATTATGGTTTCCCCTTTTTACATTTTTCATATATGTTCAGTTCACTTCTAGCATCACTATAGCACGTCTTGATTCATCACGATTAGTTGAGGACATGTTTGTTTGTGTTGTTTTCACATATGATAGTGCACCTGTGTTGTTTGTGCTGTTTACGTTGTGGTTTCACATGTGTTACACTTTTTTTGTGGGTAATCCATTTTTCCCATCTTTCTTTGTTTATTTAGATTATTGATTAGCACAGCACCAACCCCACTCATTGTATCTTTCTTAGCAGACTTGATCAGAAATAGTGAGACTGCAGGACACATTACCTGTCCTTGCCTCTATTGCACTTGAATATGTGACTTCACGAGAGACAAGCTCAGGGGATGAATGGAGAATTGTTACTGTGCGTCACTCATGCACTTGACAACCACACTGTGCAGCTCTGCTTTGAAGGATAATCATACCCCTACAATCGGTGCACCCTGAAATAATTGCTACTTGGCTTTTCAAAGCAGCAAGAGGGTTGGGCAAACACAAGAATAGAACACCTCTGGAGCAGGGACCCCATCATTTCTATGACTTATGACTCTTCTACTCCTTTGTTATTGGTTAAAGTACATATAATAACAGGGCTTCCTTTTATACGATATGTGTGCTGTAAGTGTAAAACACATTGATGCAAATTTGAGGTGTAGTGGGTAAGATCTGGATCATGCTGCAGGTGTTAAGAAGTGGCCACCTAGAGAAACAATGATGAAGATCACAGCATACAAGAAGTAATCATGTAAAACACCATGACATCATTTTGGAATTCAAAATGGCTTGCTATTTAAATTATATTTAGCAATGGCTCTGTCTTCAATTAGCATAGTAATTAATGGTACATCATAACAGCAAGGCTAGATGGGTCTGCTGGGCCCTAAAAAGCACAAATCTATTAATAGAGATCTACTGTTGCTGGCTACTTCCTCCCTCACTATTACCTAGATGATATTCAAAGAAAGGGAGTAAAATGAGGCTTATCCCTACACTCTTATGAATATGAATCGGTGTCCAAAAAATAAAGTATACCCTATAATAACCTGTGAAATAATCACTAAAGAAAGTCCCACTTTCACCTTTAATAATAATAATAATAATAATAATACACCTTTTTAGTGTCCATACATTTGTTGCGTGAAAACCCAAAATTAAAGTCCATAAATCTTTCTTCCAATTTATGAAAAAAACTCACCGTATGAATCCAGTAAATGCTGTGTACCTCAAAATAAAGGAAAACTCAATAGTGTATTATCCTCACAAAATAATTAATAAATTTATCAATAATCACCAAAATAATTATTAAAAAAAACAACAACATCTAAGTGGCTGAATTGCATACCCTTACCCCAATAAATAGTACGATGTGTACACTGAGGTGTTCACAGAGAAGCATATATAGTACTATTACACAGAGTGTTTCACTATATCACGTGTTTTCACGGTTTATGCGTTTTGCATGAAATTAATGAGGATTTTTTTTTTAATAAATATTTTGGTGATTATTGATTAATTTACTAATTATTTTGTGAGGATAATACACTATTGAGTTTTCCTT